TGCATGTATGTGCTTGTTTAGCCCTGTTTACTGTTTGTTTTGCACTGTTTACTACTGTGTGTATAATACATGTATATCAATAAAGGATAACTTGTATAGTAGCGATGATATCTCTGATTCTCATCACTTTTCCAAGTTTTCTTGTTCAAGTTTTAAAAAAAATATTTAAAAAAAATATTTATTTTTTTTCCGATGAAATCGATTATTGATTTTGATAACCAAGCGCTTGGTTCGAGCCACTGTTCAACCGATGATCGAGTATAATCGATGATCGTGACATCACTAGGCGCTTGGTTCGAGCCACTGTTCAACCGATGATCGAGTATAATCGATGATCGTGACAACACGACACAACACCATACAACACGATACAACACGATACAACACCATACAACAAGATACAACACGATACAACAAGATGCAACCCGATACAACATCATACAACACGATACAACAAGATACAACATCATACAACACCATACAACACCATACAAAACGATACCACACGACACCATACAACACGATACAACACCATACAACACGACACAACACGACACAACACCATACAACACGATACAACACCATACAACACGATACAACACCATACAACACAATACAACACAACACAACATGACTCGCAGAAGTGGACCAGGAAGGCACAACTGCTCCTCGCCTGTAAGTCACACGACACATCATCAGTCACAATCTAAGATGAGCAGTGGGCGATGTCAGCATATCAAGTACGTACCAGCGAGCAGTGGTCGCGCGTGTGCTTGTCTGCCAGGTCTGTGATCGTCGCCTGTACGCTCGGCCACATCAGTGTCTCCCTCTGCTGGAAGTAACAGCTGTGGCAGTCGGCAAGGATCTGTACGTACCTGCGTCGCGCGTAAAAATTATCGTCTTGATTACTTGTCTTGTTTTGTTTTTTGGCTTGATTATGAACGGTTCGCACGTAAAACCAGCGTTAGACGCATTAAACCCAGCAGCAGAGCTGGGAGAGAGCGTTAGACATAGAGTCGCGAAGAAACGCTCTGATGCAAATTTCTCAATTTGATTTCCAACGATTGCTGACAACTTATTTTGTCTCGACTATTTTGTCTCATTTTTTTGGCTCGATCATGGCTCATTTTTCCCGATTCCCCGACTTTGATTGAGTGACGAGTTTCGAGATTTTAAAGATTCATTCCTTATAGCACAATTTTGGCTAACGAAACGCGGGAATCTCCATCGAGTCGCCAAGTAATGGGCTTTAAAACGAAAGACCAGTAACAACGGATTCTGGACGAGTACAATCGTAAACCCTTCGGCAACCCTAGCTTCTCCCCTACGAACAGTCTCATACCCTAACCCTAACATGTTAACAGCCTCGCAGGCTAACAGCAGTGAGGAGGAGGAGGGGGAGGAGGGGGAGGTGTTAAATTTCAAGGACTTTCCATGACCGCGTGTTCCATTGTTCATACCTGTTCAGCGGAGGGGCACGCGATGATCTGTTGTTCCTCCGGTTCGTAGCTGTCCCTGACGATGCTGATAAACTCCTGAAAGCTCTGCTGCACACTTTGCTGGAACGTACGAACAACGGTAAACCACCGTTCATCGTTCATCCTGTTAGGCTCACATTACATGTTAGCTTGAGTCAATAGCGATGTGGAGAACCGATCTTACCCGTATCGGATGAAACAGTATGAACTCAGTGTCCTTGTTCGCGAGGTAAAGGTTCATACTGTGCTGGAACAGCGGCAGCTGGGTGCGCAGGTTCCTGTAGGCATCTGCTGCCACCTGCTGGATCTTTTCCTGACTAGCGAACGGCTGCTGTCGGAGGTTCACCTTGCGATCGCTCTCTTGTTTCACCATGCTGATGACGTCGGCCTGTGAGCGAGAGTAAAGTCAGAATTAAGGGCAGTGTGCGCGAGAACTACGTCGCAGAAACCTGGCCTGTCAAAATACTAGATTACCCGGCAACGGATCGCGTGACAGACCGAGTCGGACATTCCTCTATCACACGACGCAAGGCGCAACTACGGCATGGACGTGGTCAGAAGACGCATGGAGAGAGAACAGCGTGCAATACGTGAGGAGAGAGAGAGAACGAGAGAGAACGAGATGCAGGTAAGTGAACCATACACACTTATCTATTTAGCAACGTACAGTTGCATTCGTTCGCGTGTTGGTTTTAGATTTTAGGTTTCTAGATTTTAGATTTGTCGGACACTGTTCGATGACTGGTGTAGAGTCTGCGGTTTTAGCAGGTGAAGGTAAATGCTAACTGTACGTTATAGTTTGATCAGTTACTCTGCCGTGGGTCACGCGTAACTTTCACAGACCGTTATTCGTTGGCCCGACATTACGAATGTCCAGTCCCAGTTTAGGAATGAGCATGCAGTGAAAACGTGTATTTGTCAACAACTTGACACTGTCTACCTTTGTCATGAACGACTTGACGGGACCAGCAAGGAGGTCTGCGGAGTCTTGTATGAACATTTCACAGACGCGCTTGAGCTGGTTGTCCACGTCACGCTTAGAGTCGATGTAGGTTTCCATTACTTGTGGCGTTCCCTGCACAGACAGAGCGTAGCATGGTATAGCTACACGAGCGTAGCAGCGTATAGCTACACGAGCGTAGCAGCGTATAGCTACACGAGCGTAGCAGCGTATAGCTACACGAGCGTAGCAGCA